TGATGTAAGTCAGACAGAGAAAGACAAATATTGTATGATTTCACTTATATGTGGAATCTAAAAAACAAATTAACCAACATAACAAAACAGAAACAGAGTCCTAGATACACAGAACAAACAGGTGGTTGCCAGAGGGGATGAAGGTGGGGGATGAGAGGAATAGGTTGAGGGAGATTAAGAGGTACACACTTCCCAGTGTAGGAAATATAATCAATAACAGTGTAATCTTTCTATGGTGACAGATAGTAACCTGAGTAGACAGGTTGCAACCTGTCTACACTTACTGTGGTCATCTATGTTTCAAAAACAAGCAAATTTAAGAAAAAGATCCGATTTGCAGTTTCAAAGGCAGGAAATGGAAGGAGGACAAATTGGATGAAGTTAGTCTAAAGACACAAAATTCCAATTACTTAGATAAGTACTAGGGATATAATGTAAAACTTTATAAATATTATTTTATTATCTATTTCATTTTCTATTTTCTGTTTATCAAGTTCACACTACTGTGTGTCATACATAAAAGTTGTTAAAAGAGAGTAAGCCCTAAGGATTCTCATTGATGAATGTTCATTAAACTTACTGTGGTAATCATTTCATAATATATCCAAGTCAAATCATCATGCCATATACCTTAAACTTATATATACAGTGTTGTATTTCAGTTATATTGCAATGAAATTGGAAGAAAAAACAAAGTACATGTCTTATATACAACATTTTTGATAGTGTTAAATTTAAATATTTTATTTTGCTATTGTTTTATATTTATCCAAAAAATTTTTGGTTCCTCTATTCCTACTTTTATTTTCTTTTGGGTTAATCAAATGTTTTTTTAAAAAATTTCATTGAATTCTTCTGTTGGCTTATTATCTATACTTTTTCTATATTTTTAAATATATGAATTGGGATTATAATATGAATTCTTAACCTAGTCCACTTAGAGTTTAAATTATTTGTTCAGTTGCTAAGTCATGTCCGAGTCTCTGCAGCCCCATGACTGCAGCACGCTAGACTTCCCTACCTTCACTATCTCCCAGAGTTTGCTCATACTCACATCCATTGAGTCAGTGATGTTCTCTAACCATCTCATCCTCTGCTTCCCCCTTCTCCTTTCACCTTCAATCTTTCCCAGCATCAAGGTCTTTTCAAATGAGTCAGCTCTTCGCATGGGTGGCCAAAGTATTTCAGCTTCAGCATCAGTCCTTCCAATGAATATTTAGGATTGATTTCCTTTAGGATTGACTGCTTTGATTTCCTTGCTGTCAGAGGGACTCTCAAGAGTCTTTTCTAGCACCACAGTTCAAAAGCATCAATTCTTTGGCACTCAAGTTTCTTTATAGTCCAACTTGCACATCTGTACATGACTACAGGAAAAACCATAGCCTTGGCAATACGGAACTTTGTTGGCAAAGCGGTCTCTCTTCTTTTTAATACGCTGTCTAGGTTTGTCCTAGTTTTACTTCCAAGGAGTAAGAATCTTTTAATTCATGGCTTCAGTCACCATCTGTAGTAATTTTGGAGCCCAAGAAAATAAAATTTGTCACTGTTTCCACTTTTTCCCCATCTGTTTGCCATGAAGTGATGGGACCAGATTCTGTGATCTTAGTTGTTTGAATGTTGTTTTAAGCATGCCTTTTCACTCTTCTTTTTCACCCTTCATCAAGAGGCTCTTTAGTTCCTCTTCACTTTCTGCCATTAGAGTGTTAACCATCTGTGTATCTGAACTTGTTGATATTTCTCTAGGCAGTCTTGATTCCAGCTTGGGATTCATCCAGCCTGGCATTTTTCCTGAGGTACTCTGCCTATTAGTTAAATAAGCAGGGGGACAATATATAGCCTTGACAAACTCACTTCTCAATTTTGAACCAGTTCTTTTTTTATTCCATGTCCAGTTCTGACTGTTGCTTCTTGACCTGCATACAGGTTTCTCAGGAGATAGGTAAGGTGGTTTTAAGAATTAAACCATTTCGTTAAGAATTTTCCACAGTTTGTTGTGATCTGCACAAAGTCTTTAGCGTAGTCAATGAAGCAGAAGTAGATGTTTTTCTGGAATTCTCTTGCTTTTTCTATGATCCAGTGGATGTTGGCAAATTGATCTCTAGTTGTTCCTCTGCCTTTTCTAAATCTAGCTTGTACATCTGGAAGTTCTCCGTTCATGTACTGCTGAAGTCTAGCTTGAAGGATTTTGAGCATTATCCTGCTAGCATGTGTAGTGAGTGCAATTGTATTATAGTTTGAACATTCTTTGGCATTATCCTTCTTTGGGATTGGAGTGAAAACTGACCTTTTCCAGTTCTACGGCCACTACTGAGTGTTCCAGATTTGCTGGCATATTGAGTGCAGTACTCTAACAGCATCATCTTTTAGGATTTGAAATAGCTCAGCTAGAATTCCATCACCTTCATTAGCTTTGTTCGTAGTAATGCTTCCTAAGGCCCACTTGACTTCACACTTCAGGATGTCTGGTTCTAGGTGAGTGACCACACCATTGTGGTTATTCAGACCTTTTGTGTGTATAGTTCTGTGTTTTTTTGCTACTTCTTAATCTCTTCCACTTCTGTTAGGTCCTTTCTTTGCATTCATTTATAACTATATTTTCCTTTAAATTCTTAAATCTATTTATAATAGCTGCTTTAAATTTCTTGCCTGCTAACTCCAGCATCTGGACCTTGGGTCGATTTCTTTTGACTTTCTTCTCTCTTGACATTTTCCTATTTCCTCTCTTGTTTATTAATTTTTAAATTATGTATTGGACACTGTGAGGGGCATGTTGTAAAATTCAAAGATTCTGGATTCTGTTATCTTCCTCTAGAGGTTATTGATTTTTTTGCTTTGCCAGACTGTTAAACTTGATTATACTCAAACTCTAAACTCTGATGCTTTTGCTGAAAGTGAAAGTGTAGTTGCTCAGTCCTATTTGACTCTTTTTGACTCCGTGGACTGTAGCCTGCCAGGCTTTTCTGTCCATGGAATTTCCCAGGCAAGAATACTGGAGTTGGTTGCTGTTCCTTCTCCAGGGAATCTTCTGACCCAGGGGTCAAATCCCGGTCTCCCACATTGCAGGCAGATTCTTTACCATCTGAGCAACCAGGGAAGCTGTTTTTGCAGTGGATAGTAATTGAAATTTTTGTTCAAATCTTTCAAGTCTTTCACCTGTTCCCACCCCACCCCCTCCCCCCCGGGCTCCTTGGAGTCTCTTCTATACATGAATAGATCAAGAGCTAAGGATTTAGCAGATTTATACACAGATTTTTGCAGTTCCGTCTTTTTAAATATTCTTTTTATAACTTTCCAGCCTCTCTGACAGCCTGAAACTCTTATCTTCTTAAACCAATTATGATTTCTCAAACCAATAAGTCTACAGTTCTCTGATTTTCAATTGCCCCTCCCTGCTATGCTGACTAGAGTGCCCTCTGGCAAAAAGCTGTATACAGACAAATTTGTCCTGCTGCAGTTCACTTCTTTTCTGTTATCCATAGATGCATAACAAATCACCCCAAATATAGTGGCATTAAACAGAATCAATCACCTATTATTACTATGGTTCTAGGGTTTGACTGAACTCAGTTGTGTGGTTTTTGCTTGGCTCTTCTAGCCTGTTGTAATCAAATGGAGGCTAAAGTCATCTTGAAATCTCCCTCACTCTCATTGATTTGACAGTTGATGTTGTCTTTTGGCTGGGACTAAGTTCGACTTTCAAGTAGAATACCTGTGCATGACCTCTGCCTGGGCTTTTTAATAATAGTTGGCTTCTAAGAGCAAGCATCCCAAGAGAGAACCAGATGGAAGCTGTATTTTCTTTTATTAACTGGCCTTGGAAGTCACATAGTGTCACTTTTGCCACACTCATGCTCAACGCAGTTACAAAGAAAAGCTTCTATCCAAGTGGAGGGAATTAGACTCCACCCTGGTGGCTCAGAGGGTAAAGCGTCTGCCTGCAGTGTGGGAGACCCAGATTCGAATCTCAGATTGGGTTCAAATCTCAGATCGGGAAGCTCCCCTGGAGAAGGAAATGGCAGGCTACTCCCATACTCTTGCCTGGAAAATTCCATGGATGGAAGAGCCTGCTAAGCTACCATCCATGGGATTGCAAAGAGTCGCACACAAGTGAGCAACTACACTTTTGAGGGTGAGGAGTGTCAAAAGAATTTTTCAGACATGTTTTAAAACTATCAAACCTTCTTTTAAATCTTGTGTTCCCTTTAATTTCTCCTTGCTTTTGGTCATTCTCTAGTACTTTCAAATAATTACTTTTTATGTAGATAATGTCATGTTATCTGGTAGTCCCTTATAGACTGCTTCGTCATTACCAGGAGTAGAACTTCCTCTCCTACTTTTCTTACACCCATAGCACTCATCACCTTTGCCATTCCTGTATTAACTTGTTTATAGTGTGTCTCTTCCCATTAAAATGCAAGCTCCATTAAGTTGGGATTTTCTCTCTTTGGTAACTGCTAGGTGCATAGTAGGTGCTGCACAAATTTTTGTTGAATGAATGATGAATGAATTTTCAACTCTTCAAAATAGCCATGAGTAACCAAATCCTCTTGATAAAAGAGGAATACAGATTATGGAGCCTTGTTCCTTCAACATGGTTACACTGGTAGACTGGCATATCTCAGATTAACTTTTCCTTGACTTACCGAATAGAGCATAGAGATTATGACAGTTTATTCTCCTCATTCCTGCTGTATGTGTCAGTTTAGCAGGCTAGGTAACTGATTACAGCTCAGTGGAAGTACCATGTTATGTACTTTGTGAAGTGTAAAGCACTGTGAGATTGTAAGATATATCAGGTAATTACATGCAGTTGCACCTGGTAGGCCAGGTCTTTACAGATTTCATTTTGAAAGCATATTTTTGTATGTGTGTGTGTGTGTGTACATTTTTAAGGAATGAGTATTTTGACTTTCCAGAACAATAATGAAAGTTATAGCTGTATGTTTATGATAAAGACCTTACTAGGTTCTTATTATTTTGTCTGACTTCCTTTTTTTAAGGAACTTAAGAGATTTCAGAACTTTGTAAAATACCGTCCTCCTTTCGATGTTGTCGTTGATGGGCTCAATGTTGCCAAGATGTTTCCTAAAGCTCGTGAATCTCAAGTTGTAAGTACAAGTTTTGTTATTCCACATCTCTAGAAATATATATTGGACCCATTATGTGATCTTCCTTGGTTCTCTTAGTTGCCCATTTTCCCTTCCTCTAAAAATAAGTTCTCAAAAGTGCCAGAGTAACCAACCATTCATCTAAGATTCACTGTTTTTGTTTCTGACAAGTAAGTGGCTCCTACTGGCTGGGCCAGAGTGAGAGATTCAAAAGTCTATGTAATAAAGGGCCAATTCAGCCTTTTTTGTGTAACCTTTAGGTGATCTTCTAGGTCTCTACTCTTTGGGTTATTCTATCTTGTCCCTGTGGATCACATCCCTCCACTTGAAATTTATCAATGTATAGTATTAAGAGGTATTAATCACTCACTGGGGCTTCCCTGAAAGCTCAGCTGGTAAAGAATCCACCTGCAGTACAGGAGACCCCAGTTTGACTCCTGGGTTGGGAAGATCCACTGGAGAAGGGATAGGCTACCCATTACTCACATTTGTATTCTTCCAGACATACTATGTTCATCAATTATACTAAGCATTTCTTTTTTTGGTAAGGTAATCATTTGTTCTATCAATTTCTAAGTGTCCTAGTAGTTTCTAATAGGAATATTAGGATTTTTTTTATAGCATAGTGAGCAATTATTTTAATTCTCATTTTTACAGATTAGAAAATTAAGGCCAATTTTGTATAGTACATCCTTAGAAAGCAGTCATAACATAAAAATTTGATTGTAGAGAGCTCCTGGGTTTCCTGGGTTTGTAATAATACAAACTATTATTTTGTAAAAATTGCTGCCAACTTAAAAGATTTTTCTCAGAGATGCTATCAATACTGGTCCAGTTTGACCATTTATACTCAGAAAAGCTTACAGGTACTCACAAAGGACAAGGTTGATTTATAGAAATTTCTTTATATGCCTTTCCTTATTTTTATGGTCATGTACTTTTTACTCCTTTATTTTTAAAAAGCACAAAAGTAAGTTGAAAAAATTTTTGTCTATAAGGTATTTGAAGGGGCTTTTGAAGCAGTAACATTGACAAAGACAAAGCCAGAATAGGAAACATGAAACTATTATCACTAAGGCCTGGTAGAGCTCAGAATCAGAAGGGTTCATTCCCATCTAATCCGTGAGAATAAAAAGTTTCTTGTTTGTGTACTTTTCGTTTGACTTTCAGCTTCAGACAAAGCAAAAGGTTAGCTTGCCAGAAATATGTAGCCCAAATGGTCTCACTTTTGCCAGTACCATGTTGAAGATGTTGTAGTGGACACATCATCGAGCTTTGTGGGAGAAAACTGTGCACATTTTTGAAGATTTTAGCAGATTTTGGCAAGTACAGAGGCAGAGAACAAATGATGGGCCAGGGAAATCATGACGTCTTTCACTACTTTTAGCTTTTACTCTTTAAATAATTTAATGTAAGCAACAGCTTATGTGACAAGTAGTTGTTATTACCCAACTTTTCAGAGAACTTGTGGCAGTGCACTGGCATTGTATTTGGGAAATTTCAGCTTGGAGACTCAGCTTTAAGAGACACCACCTGAGTAGCATTTAATAACATTTTAAATAACTTTAAAGTAGCATTTTAGATTAGAAGTTAAGAACGGGGATTCTGGAACCAAGCTCTTTATATTCAACCTACCACTTTAAATTGCTTTCTTAGTTTGAGTGATTTATTTAACCTCTCTGTGCCTTACTTTCCCAATTTGTAAAACAGACCTAATAATAGTACTTGTCTCTTAAAGATGTTGTGAAGAATACTTGGTACATACTAAGTACCTAATAGGTGTGACTATTATTGATTACTATTCAAAGTAACTTCCCAAATAGAACAGTAATTCTTGCTTTCAGTTATCCTCTGTTAAGCAGTTTAAGATTTTCTCCTGTTATGTCATCCATGTCAATGGAGTTAAAAGGAAATAACAAATCTCTGCCTTAGTGTTAGATCTAGTATTAGTGTTAGACTCTAGGTGAGGTACTCAAATAATACTTGGTTGAGAATTGAAGCTAGTTCCATCAAAAACTTAAGAAAAATTTAAAATATAATTTTAAGAAATGTTATTTTCTTATGATTATAAAAGTAATGCATGTTCATTGTAGAAAATTTGGAAGTTACAGAAAAGAAAATTATATATAATCCTAACATTCAACTATAATCACGGTCAATGTTTTATTTCCTTGCAGTATTTTTCTATTTTTTTTAACCTAAGTGAGCTTATATATCTATATTTTAATTTATAGTTGTTGAAAACTCTGAATAAAAGTGAAACTATAAAAGGAGTAAGAGAAATGAGGAATGTTTTAAAATATTTGAGATGAAAGGACCTTTGAAGCATATATAAAATTCAGAAACCCTAATGGGAAGAATAGAGAAATTTGCTAGACAGTAAAAAAAATACTATAACATTGTTTAAACATAAAAACAAACTGAAAAAAAAATTGTAACACAAATGACAAAGGGCTAATTTCCTGACTGTACCAAGGTTTCTTATAAGTAAGTGTAAGAAAAAGAAGAACCAAGCAGTAGAAAAGTGGTTTAACCTTATTCATAATTATAGTTATGCAAATGAAAATGTTTGTCTTCTAGACTGGCAGAAATTTAAAAGTTAGTAGTATCCAATATTTTGATTGGTTTAGAGAGGTAGAGAGGAGGGTTAGGATTCAAACCAAAAACCAAGAGTTAGGATTCCTAATCTTTTCCTTTGTGCACACTTTAAGACAACTATATTTAAGAGAGAGAAAAAGGAAAAATGAGTAGGTTAAGAGTATTTCTTTTCTGGGCTATTTTATTAAACTTTGTTTACAAATTTTAAAAATGTTTGAGCATTTTTAGATGCTGTTAGGTACAGTGTTTTTTGGTGGGTAATTTGGCAATAACTTTGAATGCCTAAAATGCTGAAATTCTTCTCTTAGGAACTGTTATATTCACACTAGTATATAAAATTTTATGTCCCAGTGTGTTAGTTACAGCATTGCTTGTAAGCAGAGAAGTCTAATCAACTTAAATATTGATCAGTCTAGGACCTGATATATATTGAAACATCTATTTTAAATGAATGAGATAGATCTATATGTACTGATATGGAATGATAGCCAAAGTAAGTGTAAGAAACTAGTTGTACAGCAACTGTATGGCCCCACTTGTGTTAAAAGCAAACCAAAGGGTTACCCATATATAAATGTTTGTTAGGTAAATTTGTATATGACTGGAAAATTCCAGAAGTTACACATAAAAACTTTAGGATAGTTAACTTTAGGAATTGGGGATATAGTATAAGACAACAAGAGAATTTCAATTTTTTATTTTTATTTTTAAAATTTTCTTTCACAATGAGTATATATTTAAAATTTAAAACTCGTCATCAGGAAAAGTAAAAAGGCATTCTTGGTAAATATTCTAAAATAACTGTATCTTATGGATGTACCACAGTTTTTTAATCATTTGTCTGTTGGTGGGCATGTTAGATTGTTTCTCGTTTTTCACTATGGTAAATAATGCTTGGAAGAAGATCTCAGGATGTTTCAGATGATTTCTTAAAAATAGATTCCCAGAAATAGGACTCTTGAGTCAATGGGTATGGATAATTTTAAAGGTCTCACTATATATTACCAAATTGCTTTCCAAAATGATTGAAGCAATTTATATTCCCACCAACAGTTATAAAAGTGCCAAAATAGAATACATTTATTCAAAGTTGCTCATTACATGATTGCTTCAACTATTTAGTTGCATTTGTGCTATGAATCTGCTAAGTGAATAGAGCTGGACAGTTTTTAACCCAGATTCCTTAGCTGAAACATTTTTAAAATTTGTAAACAAACTTTAATAAAATAGCCCAGAAAGGAAATATTCTTGACCATTTCCTTTCTCTCTCTCTCTCTCTCTCTTAACATGGTTGCCTTTAAGTGTGCACAAAGGAAAAGATTAGGAATCCTAATTCTTGAATTTTTCATCTTTGTGTGTGGAATCTTCCAGCCTTTTTCTGTGGAATAATGTACAGCTCATTTATGTTCTTCTCATGAACTCTCTGCATTATATGTTACAAATTCTACTTTGTCCTTTTGCATTAATAGTTAATTACATAGCCAGCATTGTTCTCTGTAAGTTCATAAATAAGAAGAGACCATTTAAAATTCACTACTTGGGGAGTAGCACCTTGATCACATATCTTGAACTCAGAACCTACAACTTAGGGGTGATTGAGATTTAAGAAACTAAAAATAGTTCTGGTTGTGAATTTATTTTCTCAATTTTCAAACATATCTTTTTATATTTGGAATTTTTTGGAAGTCAGATTATATCTTATAATTGATGTCAGTAGAAACTTACCAGTTACCATGCAGAGTTGAGACTTAACTGGTGGTTGCCATTGCCTGAGAATGTGCAGGTTTAGCTGTACACAGCATGTGTTTTCTTTTCTTGGAAGTTTTAATTTTTTTTTTTAAACTTTACTTTATATTGGAGTATTAGCCAGTTAACAATGTTGTGATAGTTTTGGGTGGACAGCAGAGGGACTCAGCCATACATATACATGTATCCATTCTCCCCTAAACTCTCCTCCCATCTAGACTGCCATATAACATTGATCAGAGTTCTTTTGGGTTACACAGTAGGACTTATTAGTTATCTGTTTTATATATAATAGCTTGTTTCTGCTAATCCCAAACTCCTAATATATTACCCCCTTCCTCTCTTGTAACATAAGATTGCTTTCTATGGTTGTGAGTCTGTTTCTGTTTTGTAAATGAGTTCATTTGTATCTTTTTTTTAGATTCTTCATGTAAGTGATATTGTATGATATTTGTCTCTGTTTGACTTAATGTGATAATCTCTAGATCCATTCCTGTTGCTCCAAATGGCATTATTTCATTGCTTTTGTGGCTGAGTAGTATTCCGTTGTATATGTACATCACATCTTCTTTATCTGTTCATCTGTCACTGGACACTTAGGTTGCTTCCATGTCTTGGCTATTGTAAATAGTGCTGCTGTGAACATTGGGGTGCAT